ATTCATTCATTCATTCATTCATTCATTCATTCATTCATTTTATATAGATTCCACTTTCACCTCTATTCATTTTCCTGTGCAATGTGCAGTTTCATTGAAACAAATTCTCAGAACTATGAAGAAGAAATGAATACATTTTATTTCTTAGAGTTTATAAGATGTTAGCTTGTCTTTCTCCGGAAGGTGTCAATGGAAGGCTGTCATGCAGCAAGGCCTTATTCATATTTTAACAATGCTTTATATGGAAGAGGTTATCTTCATATGACTATTATGAAATGATATTCCATCTAGTCAGTGAACTTTCATATTTTTTGTTTCATTCTTCTGGGCTTCAGATGTGATGTAGCACTTCAGAAATATCTATTCCGCTTTCCAAAAAAGATAGTTGAATAACACAATTAACTTCTTTTCTCTTCAAAATGATACTGTATTTGAAAAGAATGATTGAGATGTATCAAAGCATTCTTATTCCATATATTCCATAATTCCTTATTTAATATTATATAGTTACCACTAAATCTGTGGTTCCTACTTGTTTATAACATGATCAGAAGTTCCTTGCAACATAGAAGTGTTTTTGTTTCTATTTTCCATATTCTACTCATTTTCATATGAGAAAGGAATATAGAGAACATTATTTTACTGCATAATAAAGAAGCATTCACTTTCATTAATATCACCATAAATATCATTTTTTCAAAGGTGAATTTTTGTAGTAAATATTCTATTTTACTAACTGCATTTCCATATTATAATAATCATTTATCACAAAACCTACCTGACTTTTGAAATTCTTTGGGTCCTAAGTAAGTTTTCTACTGTGCTGATTGTCATTCAGTCCATTATAAATTACTTATGACTTCTCCCATCCCTGATTTTTTTTATAACTTATTCCCTCTTACAACGTAATATAATTTTGCCAAAAAACAAACAAAAAAAGCCTTTTTTCTTTAGAAAATAAAAATGAATGAAAATTTAAGAGATCTAACAAGAAAGCCCATTCATTAATTTGTCCGAAATTTTGCTGGTTTCATTCATTGATAATCACTTATTGTACCAGAAGATTTCATTCAATTCTCTCCCCCACCCATCCACCATATTGATTTCCCATGCTTGTCAATGTGACACAAGTTGCAAAGTGTTGTGTTTCCAAATCTCTAAACACAGATTGGTATTTGGAAATGTAAAATCAAGCATTCTCCTGGTTAACCTGAATCACATTAAACTTTTTTTTCCCCCATAAAATAAGATTCTAATCAAAACTTGCCAAGTGAACATGTCTAATAATTAAATTTACATGGAACTAGTATAGCATTTTAATTTAATTGTAATTGGAGGATAACTTGACCTTCTGTTGTTATATTTTAGTATTACTAACCCGTATCATGACCAAGCTATTTTAAATACAATCTCTTCTGAGCATGCCAGAAGAAAGGCAGAAATCCATTTTTATATCACAGTGTTCCAATTAATAAAAGTACAAAGAATATCAATTCATTCTGACATTATGTAAAATACTTTTATTATCTAAAATAAAATAAAGATATTATAAAAGAATATTTATAAAACAAGGTACATTGAACATTAATATAATAGTGAATATGATACAGAAGAGTTGCCCTGATCATATTATTTCATTACTTCTCACACATTCATGTACTATTTTTAATCCCTTGCATATCAATAATATGCAAACAACAAATTGGGAACTATTGTTCCTCATTATTATTTTACACAGAGCTACTCAAATTTCTAGCAGTTTTTTACCATTTAAATTAGTATGGCTTTTTTTAAAAAAATACACATATACAGTAATTTTGCCCAACTTATTTTTGATCAGAAGTTGTTAGGTAGTTATTGGTTTAACAAGATATGAGAGTCATTGAGAGTCAGGTGGCATACAAATTTAATAAATTATGGTCGGTCGCACAGACAGATGTTTAGACTGGATTTGGCATTTTTATCCACCTATCGAGTCCTTCCCAAGGACCTGGGATAGCCAGATGTTGTTTGATTGTGTTAAAGATACTATCACAGGATATAAGCTGTTCTAAGTACAGCTGCCTTTTGCAATTGACTGATGGTGATTTTGTCAATGCTGATGGTCTTCAAGGGGTACTTCAGATGTTTTGGGATTGCACTTTGTGCTTTCTTTTGCCATAGTCATTCTACTTCTATTTGCAAGTCTTTGTATTTTGTGATTTTCTCCAGTTCTTTTTCGTCTCTTCTGCTGTCTCCAGGTATTGCAATGTCCACTATT